GATAAAGGCTTGATGTTGTTGTTGTTGTTGTTGTCTAATTTTTGGGATACAATTTTACTGGTTACTGCAACTTATTTAGTTTGTTCTATTTTGTACAACTTTTTTTATTTTTTCATATATTTAGCCTTAATTTATACAAGATGATGCACATCATTTTTTTATCTAAGGTCATCGAGATGGAAGCATGCTTGCAAGATGTTAATAATTTAAGTAATTCAATCCCCCCTCGCGAGACTATATGTGTACTTGCAGAAAAGTTCAGGTAATAGTGAATACTTTTTTTGTTGGAGCTTTTAGTTTTATTATGTTTTAAAGCTCTTCCCCAAGTTGTTGCGACATAGGCTAATGATGATGATGATGAAGGTTATGTTGTTTTAAACCTATTTTTTTTCCATTCTTAAGAGAACTAAGATTTTGTCATCTATTTGAAGTACATCGGCTGGTCGAGCTGGAAAAATGATTGTACAGCCAAAACAGGTTAGAAGCTTTTCTTAACTTTTTTTTTGTTTGTTAAAAGGCCTTTCAATTTTTTTTATATAATAAAGATTGTTGCAGGTTTTGAATTGGTTCCAAAATAGGAGATATGCCCATAGGGCAAAAGTTAAGGACCCAGCAAAACTAAATGTCTCTCTTATGCCTCGAGATGATCCTGCTCAACATAGAAATGTAGCTCCTCCGCTTCCTATTTCTCAAGGTTATTTTGTAAAGTATATATTATTTGCTCTTTTTTTGTAGGAATGCGAGTATGTTCTTTGCTCCATGTTATGAGTGATCTGCTGTTTGGTGTGCCTATTTATACTTGGAAGACATTATTTTACACCCTACACTATTAATGTAGCTGTATCCTAAATGTTAATTGTTAATTTTTTTTAATCTAAAGTTACATGATTTTTGGTAACCAATTAGGAACTAGTTGAATTTACGTTGCTTTTTACTGGTAAAAAATTTTCAGTTGCTTCATGAAAAAACATGTTATGCATTTTTTTGTTTGAAAGAATGATATGTATTGAGATTTTATTGAAAATGATGTCACTAGAGATTGTTTTCTATAATCAACAACTATGTTGAATAGAATTTTACTTGAGGCGGA